CGGGAGAATACAGTCAGTTTGTACTTTTTTTGGCAAGACTCCTAAAAGCTAGCAGGATAATAATCATAAATGCTTATTGAGAGCTCACCATGCATAAGGCAATGTTCTAATCCCTTTGCATGAATTAACCCATTTCAGCATCACAACAATCTTAAAAGGCCCAAAGATGTTAAGCAATTTGTTCAATGCAACAACACCTCTCCTAGGTCCAGAGCTGGATTGCAAACCAGGAAGTCTGGCTCCAGAGCCTGCATGGTTAGTCAGTGTACACACTCTGCAGAATCAGACATAGATGCAGACCATCCTCAGAGAAGTGGGCCTGGTTCCTCGTCTTCCTCAATTCCCTGACCCCTATAATAATGGGACTACACTCTTCAGCTGAAAGTAACTTCCTCAAGAGAAAGATCTATTAGCCAAAACCACCAAGATACACCATGCCAGAAGTCAGCTCAGTTATCCCCAGAACTCACTGCAACCCCTAATCTCACTGTCACATTGTAGGATTTTTTCCAGCCCGTAATTCCCTCTCCCTGGGCCAGCAAGTCAACAGAACATTCAAAAAGACAGTCTCCAAAGTGACTCTACTCAAACTGTTTTCCAACTCCTGGGGGCCTTCCTTTGAGGTGAAAAAACGCTAATCAGGGAGTTATCACCATAAATAATGGATCACTCATTAGACTTTCACCAAGAATCAGTAAAGCAAGCAGCTTCTGAGCTTCTTGCTCAGAAGGGTTCATTATGCCCTCCATGGTTCATAATTGGGCATTGTAATTAATCCATTTACCTGCTATTCAAATCAGCACTCCATAATAAGAGTCCATAATTACTGAACATTGAATAGGTACATGAATAACCAAAATGTACCTGATTTGACTGGCTTCAGCACCTTGATTCCCAGAATATTTACCCCTTTTGCGTTTTAAAGGTCCACAGCAACATACGTACAGCAGATGGGTGGGTAGAAGGTAGGAAGCCCAATTTCCAGAAAGCCATGAGTGACTAAAGCCCAGAAGACTCAAGAGCTTGTTCACAATCACCATAAATAATTCAGTCAACATTTATTAACATTTATTACTTATTGTGTGTCGGGCCCAGTGCTAAGAACAGGGTATTCCCCCCAAAAAAGTGCATTATCTAATAGACATATAAATAGACACACAAAAAGCCAATTATCTTGCAATAAGAAAAGTGAGAGACAGGCGTTAGGAACACATAAGAAAGAGTGATCACCCTCCCTAGGGAGAGAGGATAAATGGCAGATATGGGAAGGCTGCCCAGAGGAGGTAACATTTGAGTTAAGTCTTGCGGGTTGAAAAAGATTGTTCTCCAGAGAGAAGAAGGGGGAAAGAATGGTGCAGGCAGAGGGAAGAGTAAACACAAAAGCATTCAGGTACGCAGTGGGAGGTACTTTTCCGAGAATTGCATGAGACAGGTATCAATGGGCTTTGCACACCATGCTAAGGAAAGTGACCTTTATCCAGTGTCCTGTAGACAATAGGACAACATCCTAAGTTTTTAAAAAGAAGCCTGATCATGAGCAGATTTGTGCTTCCAAAAGCTGATCCAGTATAGTAGTGATGATGAAGCTGGATTAGAGAAGAGGACCAACAGTTCAGAGGCAAGTGCCTTAGTGAGGGTAGAGGTGAGATGACCTGTCTTGGGCACTGACAATAGGTGGAAAAGGAAAGTGGGACTGGAGGCTTTGCAAATATTCCAGAAGGCCAGAAGAGGAGGTTTCTGATGACACCTAGGGAACAGGGGGAAAGGAGAACAGGCCAGCAGGAGAATGGTGTTTCCCTTAGCTGAGGAACAGAGGCATGGCTGAGCGATGAGGAGAAAGTGTATAAGGAACTAGCACTACTGCATGGAACTGGGTGCATGTTCTCTTGTTAACAGAGGAGGGAACTGGGGTCAGAGTGGTTGAAGAGTGCAGCCAGGGTCACCCATTGCCAACAGTGCCCACTGAGCCTGTGCTGTTGATGCTGTTATGCCCTAGCTGGGTATTTCACTTTGTGGAGAGAGGCTTTGATCACAATGTAGGTAGTTTTATTCTTCATTTGTTCCCTTCCTGCCCAATGGTTGGAGTATCTCTCAGTATCTTTACCTTGTGAAAGAATACCTCCTCCCATCTTTGCCTACCCCCATCACTGCATCTCTCCCTTCCAAAGTATTTCTCTCCGCCCACTCCTCATCTACTCCCATTCACACATGGCATCTTGTTAGAAATAGCAAGGGTAGGGCAAACAGCAATGAATCAGAAGTGGGGGCAGTCTGTGTTTCAGGGCTGACTTAACCCACCAGATGACTTTCAGCAATTGCTTGGCCTCAGCCTCAGTGTCCTCAACTATAAAATAGGGATAAGAAATGAATACTAATCTTGGCTTATCTCACAGGACTGCTGTGAGGATGGAATGAGATAAACAACACAAAGCAGGAAAAGATGGCTACAGGATTCCCCATCAGAGTTGTCCATAAGACTGTGAGTCCCTTGAGAGCAGGGACCAGGTGGTCCTCATGTTTGGAACTGGGGTCCCTGGCTTTCCTGGTACAGAGCCGGTGCTCCCCAAAGATGTGTTGAATTCAGAACTAGGACCACTACCAGGCTCCCCACCACCCACCGACACACATGGAGGCGTGTGCTCCTGCAGCTCTCATCCACCACAAATGCAGGCAAGCCCACAACACCCTACTTTTGGAAGTGCTGCTCTAGTCCTGGCTTATTCCAAAAACAGCCAGTTCCTGGAGGGAAACCAAATGATTGTCACGCTGCCTGGATGCCTCCGCTAGGCACGTTCGACCAAGTCTGGGTTCTACCGCTTCTCCAAGGAAGATGCTAAGAACCGAACCGCCACCCTGGCTCACACCCCACCAAGGAGCCCCAGCTGGGTGGTCTGCCCCTCGCCGCACTGCCTTGGTGCCCAGTACGCGCCGTGGCTTTTTGTTTGTTTGTTTTGTTGTTGTTTGCAGGAGCCCGGCCGCCCCTACTGCTGTTTTCATTGATGCCTTAAGCAGAGCTGGCATGTGAACTGCTGAGAAGGGGGAGCGCGGAGCGGCGGGGGAAGCAAGTAAAAATAGCCTGGCGCTCGGCGCTCTGCCTGCTCCGGACGCCTTTAACCCTCGCAGAGGTTGGGAGAGCGCAGCGGCCGCCGCTGCACACTGCGGAACCTGGCAGGGGTCTGCATGCAGACCCCGCGCAGCAGCAAAGGAGCCCGCAAAAACTTTTTTTTTTTTTTTAGAAAAATAAGCTGAGGGTGGGGCGAGGTGGAAATGCAGGGAGGAAGCGCTTCTCGCTTGCAGGGCTCCAGCCACCTGGCAGAGACCGCTACGTGCCCGCTCGCTCCACACTTTACAGAAGCGCGGCCTTGAAGCGCTGGGTTATTTTTAGAAACCCCTTCCGCCGGTGGGCGATCAGAGGGCGGATTGGGTGAGGGGACTGGTAAGACTGGCTTTCTGCTGGGAGGCTAGCCGCCTGGCACTACACATCATTCCGAATGTCTGCTCTCAGGTGGGGGCTGGCGAAGAGGCAGTGGTGAGGGGACTGCAGGCATGCAGGCTTTGCCCTAACTCAAGGAGACAGCATTCGCTTCTGAATGCCCCACTGCTTTTAAGTCCTGGAGCGTGTTTGTTTCGAAATCGACAATTGCCAGATGCACGCTGCTTCTAGTCTCTCAGAGAATGGGGATGTAAAAAGCTCTGCTGCCTACGCGGTGGGGTAGGGGGTTTAGCAGCAGAGTTAAGACCTCGAGGGAAGAAGACCAGGAAGGGTCTCTCTACCTTTTTGCATTCCGCCAAGACAGAGGGACAATCCCCGCGCCACACCCCCATCCCCGCCCCCCCGCTGCATATGGGTAACCATATGTGAGATCTGCGGCAGCCCCACCAGACACCCAGCTATTAATAGAGCCCGGGAGTTTGCTCTCTGTGTCTTTTTCCTGCCACTGAGTAAGGGATGATCTTCACACACATGCCCCACTCCGCCCCCACCTCAGCGCACCGTTTCTCCAGGAAGGTAAGGGGGCTGCCCACGCTGATCCCTTTCGTGACTACAGGTGCCCAGGGCCTATGGAAAAGTCCGGATACTGTTATGACAGCGGGGTCAGGGCAAGGCGAGGGAACACAGCCTCGAGTCTTGGGACGCAAAGCCCAGCAGGGCTCTCTGCGGCTCAGGGCCAGCTGGAGAGAAGAGAAAAAAAGGCAGCTGCCGAAGGCGGGGGCCAAAAACACAGTTTGCGGAGCTAGAGCGACCTCCTCAAAAGCCCTTGCGGGACGAGCGGCTGCAGACCCATTTCTCACTGCAGCCGGCGACGCGCGGCCCCCACCGTCCGCGCAGGCTCGGCTGCGGCAGGGGCGGACGCTGTCCCTGGTGCTGAAGGTGGCCGCGACCAGAGTGCCCTGCCGGATTTGGCCCCCCACCCCCACCCCCCCGAGGCGGCTCAGACAACTGAGGATTGCAGACTTCTATCTGGCCCGGGTCTGGGCCGGAGGGTCTGTAGGAGGTGCCCGAGTCTTCCTGCCGGCTGGGCCCCCGCGGCCGGGAGCCCTCCGCGCTGCTGGGGGGACGGAGAGCTCGGGGACCGACTCGAGCTTGAAGGGTAAAGCGAGCGGCAGACCTGGCCCCAGGATTACCCACCCCAGTTCTGCACAAAGCCGGGACCCGGGAGCTCTCACGGATCCCAGAGGAGAGGGCAGGGGAGCGCGGCTGCCCAGGGTTTGGGACTCGGGGGCAGGAGAAAGGAGCAGCGGGTGGCAGGAGAAGGTGATGGGGTGAGAGCGGCTGCTTTGCATTTTCAAGAGGGAGGGGACCTGAGACATGAACACACACACACACACACACACACACACACACACACACACACACACGAGGAGGCCGGCAGAAGCAAGCGGGATGAAGCTGGGGAAAGTTTGGCACTCGGTGCTGAGCGGAGGCTGCGGCGGCGGCGGCGCGGTGGTCCGGGTGGGCGGCGGGGTCTCCGAGAGCCCCTGCTCGCTCGCCTGCTTACCTCGGTGTTCTCGGCCGCGTTCTCCGCCATTTTCCTCCTCAGGAGCAGGCAGCGGGAGGAGTGTTTCATGCCCATAAGAGCCAGCAAGGATTTGGTGATACAGAGATAGTAGAGAAAGAGAGAGAGCTGGTGTAGCTTTAAAAGAGAGAGCTAGAGGATGGGAGAAAAAAAATCCAACCCAGCCCCTCTGCTGGAGCGTCAGCCGGCACAGTCAGCCACGGTGGAGTCTGTTCTGCAGTCTCCACTTTGTTTTATTTTCCTCCCTTCTCATCTGCTCCGGATTCCTTCACACAGTTTCAAGTTCTCCTCGTGCCCCCGACCCCCTCCCCGCCCCTCTCCACCCGCGCTGCGGGCTAAGCGCGAGGGAAGCAGCCCCGAAGGCTCCGCGGCGGCGGCGGCGGCCGCGGCTCCTCTCCAGGCTGCTCGCAAAGTCCGGCCGGCCAGAGGCAGCCGCCAACTCCTCTCAACTTCTGCCGATCCGCTGGGCGAAGCAACACGCTTCCTGCGCGTCTCTCCTAGGGGCTGAGCCGGGTGAGTGGGGGCGGGGTAGGAGGTTCGGTGGAGCAGGCGGCGGCTGGGCGCAGACCGAGGGCCCCCAGCGCCCCCGGGCCCGCCCCCTCCCCTTGTCTCCGAGGGTCTCGGCCGCCTCCACTCCCTGACGCTGCGCACAACTTGCGCGGAGGCCAGGCCCGCGCTGGGGGCCCAGAGAAAGCAGGCGCCGGGCAAGGCTCTTGCAGGTTCTTAGGCCCGGTGCGTGTGCTCCTACCTAGGGCGAGCTCCGGGCGAGACCCGACCACAGGTACCTGGCACCCCCCTCACCCCGTCCCACCCCAGCTCTCCTGCTCCTCTGCCAGTTCCTGGATCCTTCCTTGGCGAGTTACGGTTTGGGGAACGAAGGGGTGGATGTCTGGATGGGGGAGGGTCCTTAACTCCTTCAACTCTAGGGCCAAGTGTGGTGTCATTTTCTATCCTTTTCTCCCACTCTGGGTAGCCAAGGCCTTTGGGACTCCAAGCCCCTCTCAGGCTGAGAGGGAGGGGCAAAGGTGGCGGCCAGAGTGGCCTGGGAAAGAGGGTGGGAGAAAGTCAAATGCGAGACTGCTGTCGTGCCCCCTACCCCCACTCCAGTCTTCCCTGGCAGCCCCCTGCCCACGCATTTCTCTTCTCCCTCCTCACCCTTCCCCCACCATCGCCAGATTTTGAAGTCCCTTTTATGGGAGAGAGGGAGGATGTCACATACCCATCAGGATTCTCTTGATCCTTTTTTAAGGGAGTTTGGGCGGCAGCAGGGGTGTGAATTTTTATACAATGCATTTCTGTCTTCACTTTGAGAGCTTCTTTTTCTCTGTCTTACTGGCCATCTGTCGGGCAGTGGGAGATAGAACAAAGGCGGGGGAGACCCCACTCTGCCTTTCCCTTTGCAACAGGACACTCAGGCTGACTCTTTAAAACAGCCGCACTTTCGAGCTTTCAGCCTAGGAGTCAAGGACGGAGACCTAAAAGGTGCTCCGTGAGCACCTGGCTCTCTTCACTTCATCTCTGTACTTGTTTGGGGAGGTCGCTCCCAATTGCCCTCTTTGCTTTTATCATCACCTTTGATAGCTGGGAAGTGTGAGCCTGACTGTCCTCAACTAACCCCAGAGTCCATTGAAGAATCGTTCTCCAAACATGCCTCCATCATCTGGTCCTCTGGGAAAGAGAGGATACATTGCACTAAGTAGAGGTGAGAAGTGAGGGATAGAGCGAGGAGAGGAGAAGATGAAGAATGAAAAGGATGAAAATCTAGCAAGAGGCGTGAGTTAATGGGACCGTGTGTGCGTGCATGAGAGTAAACTTTAATAAAATTAAATGACCTTAACCTCCTTAACCTTTTCCCTTCTCAGACCACAGAGCTGGGTTAGAGTTGGGGGTGAGTGAGCAGAGTCCTTGACATCACACCCAGTCCTTCTTCCCTTTCACATCCTGCCAACGTGTAGAAAGTGGTAGAGAAATAAATGACCTGGATCTGGAGAATGAATTTTACCTTCTTGAATTATTTTTTCTCTAAGCATCTTCTCAGAGACAAAAAGATTCTGAGAGACATCTAATCCTCTACCAAAAGTGTCTCAGTGTTTGTGCAATCAAAGGAAATCAGAAAAGAGGATCCTCACTGCTCTGTGGGTCCAATCCTCTCATTTTACAAAGACCCCCCCAAGATCCGAGAGAGGACATTTGCCCGTGGTCCATCAGAAAGCAGAGGACTCAGCTCCCCAGCCTCCTGACTTTCAGCCTGACACTCTGCCCCCACCCCACACTGCTTCTGCTTGTGCATCCATTCTGTGACTAACCAAGGAGGAGGGGAGCTGAAACAAGCTCCCACCGAAATAGGCTGCTGCCTGTGCGTGATTATGTTGCTATGAGAACCTCAGTGGGTGTGTTTCCTCCTTTCGCTGTTGAAATCTTTTGCTTTGCTTGGCTTCTCCCCAAGCACAGACACGTCTCCCTTTGGAATGGGGAGTGGAGAGACTGAGATGGAGAGCTGTATTTTCATGGCAAGAGTTTTCTATCCCAACCCATCCAACCCAGAGCCAGCCTAGGGTTGTGAGTGAGGCACCTATACCACTAGGGTGGTTCCATACAGGCTGGAGTACAGCAATGAACTGTGTTGAAAGTGGATACTTCAGCCCCCTGTTGAGCTGTCTTAGAACAAAGAGGTGCTGTTCCTACTATGTAACTACCTAGGAAGAATTTCACAAGCAAGCTAATTATTACTTTAAGAGACTAAGTTTGGGATGATTTGCTGTACACTCACTTCTTATGATTGTGGAAAGTGCCTAGCATATAGCAGATACTTTGTAGAGCTATTTCTCAGCATCCCCACCATTTGTGTGAATTCAGTCTTTTTCCATCTCTTTCACAAAAATACATTAGCATATTCTTTTACCAGGTTAATTAGTTTAGTCATTCCTCAAAGAATTTACTAGGCATCGCTTAAATGCCTAGCTCATTAATAGGCACTAGGCTTAACAAAATATATTGAATGGACCATTGATGAGCTCTTTAGTCACATTTGATGCTTTAAAATATACAGATTCTCTGAAGAGCTCTTAAGGAGATTTTTCATGGGAGGAAAGAAAACACGTGGGTTGGTAAGGGGTTTAGAAAGTTCACTAGAGTATGAATTAAATGGGTAGTTTGAAAAAATAGGCCCTACCAGGTAAAGAGGTTCGGAAGACCCATTTTTTAATGTAATTTTTCTTATACTGTATCTTCAACACAACAAAAGTAAAGTGCTTAGAACAGTGCCTATCTCATGGTCTCAACTCTGAGCCCATGCTGGAACCCCACTTACCTTCGTAAGTGCGCAAATGTTAACGTCAACATTTGCTAGGCCCAGTCCTGAGCACGTGAGTTAAATTTTATAGAACACTTACTATAAGCCAGAGGCTATTCTTGACTTACAGGTGTTTTCACAGTTTGTTCAACAGCTCTTTAAGGTAGAGGCTATTATCCCCATATAACAGATGAGAAAACAAAAACACAAGGAATTGCTCAAATGGTAGAGTCAAGATTCAAATCTAGGATACCTGATTCCCTAGCATAAACCTCAAGAAGTTGACCAGGTTCAGGGAGCAAGACAGTGGTTCTCAACCTTGGCTATACAGTGGAATCATCTAGAGAGCTTTAAAAATACCAGTGCTTTGGTTCTACCCCCAGAGAGTATGACTTAGTGAGGTCTGGGCATCCGGATTTTTTAGGCATCTAATTCTCAGGGACAGTGATGACTGAGGACAACTGGACAAGACTATCTGGAGACAAAAATACCTGCAGAGGATGAAGATCCCTAAGTTACAGAAGAGCCAAAACAAGAACCCCCACACTGTCAGGCGGTCCATCTCTAACACAGAGGTTCTTGAGAGCCCTGGATTGAAGGGAAGCTGTGTTGATGGTTAGAATGAGACTCTTGGCCAGGGTTACAATTAGAAAGGTTATCCAGCTTTGTGAGATCCCACAGAATAAGTGAGTTTCCCATTGCTGGAAAGGCTCAGTTAGATTAATTGTTGGCATAGATGATGTAGAGGCCCCACAAACACCAGAAGGTTGAACAAGCCCTCTGAGGTTCCACCTGCCTTGTGCTGGGGCTCTGTCATTCTGTCTTCTGTCAACTCTGAGCCGGTGCTGGAACCCCAGAAAGTGAAGACTGTACCATATTTCATCTCCACAGGCCAACAAACACCTTCTTTTAGTGACGCTGACAACCCCAGGTGCCTGGAATCAGGAAGCAGCACCTATAACCTGCAGACCATGCTGCCTGGGAAATCTCAGGCTTTGGCTTGTTTTAATGGTGGTTGTTGCAGAAAGAGGAGATGTGTTATGTGGTTTTCTCCTCCTTCATCTCCTCCCACATGACCTCACACATGGCCAGGATTCACATATGGCCACCGCACACTGCAGTGAATCCATGGTTCCTCAAGAATCAGGCCACAACTGTGATCCATCACCACCTCATGGCAGCTAACCCAGCAGTGTTCTTAGTGTCTTCTGGGACAGATGGGAGCCAAGCCAAGGCTGCAGCAGCCAGTTACCTGGCTGAGCCTCCAGGCGGCCCCACACCCGGGCAGTTCTCCTACACAAAAACCTCTCTGATCCTGCTCCCCTCTAGCCAAAGGCCCAATTATTTTTAAACTCTATTCCAAAGAACACTTGCTGAGTGCCCCCAGTACCTGCAAAGAAATTTGAGGTGGTGGGATTTTTTTTTTTTTTTTTTTTTGCCATTAAAGCCAGAATGTTATTTCTTCCTTGCTCTGATAATGTCTGATTAAATCAATTCACTGTGGTTTTGTGCTGGATAAGATACTATTTGGTTTATTTTAACAATACCTGGGAGCCATTCTCTTAGTATAAAACAATATCTGGGAGGCATTTTCTTAGTATAATATTTCTGCATTTATAGCTTAATCCTTGCTGTTTTATTCTAAAAAGTTGAATTCTCTTGTTACCTACCTATCTTTCTCTAAGAATGAGGAAGGCCCAAAAAATTACATTGTGCTGCCACAACAGAATTAGCTTTTTCTACTTGGAGGAGGTTGTACGCTCCACTCCTTTCCTCCTTTTTAGATCTTCCATTAAGACTCAGCTTTTTATGAGAAGTCTCTCTGGAATCCCTGAAAGCCAACTGGAAGCCATTCAGTCTATCCGGTGCAATAACATATGCATATTTTTTTATTAGCCTTATATGACTATGGGCCAAGCATGTGCTAAGTATTCCAGACTAAACCATGAAGAGACATACCTATGCACTGGTGACACTTATCTTCCAGGAAGAGTTGGTTAAATGACTAACTCTAATATACTAAGTGTTATAATAGATTTAAGTATTATTGGGGGTCTTATACTTTGGTTCTCATAGGTTCAATACAGCTGTAATCAATGGCTTGTAGACCCTGCCAGAAGTATCTATTGATATGGACAGGGAAACCCTGGAGGCTATAGGGTCTTAACCAGAAGCATGGTAGATTCCAAGTATGGCTGCAGACACATTCTTTATGAAGATACCAAAGTTCCAGAGTGCCTTGGAAACTTTTACAGATGAGAAGTTTTACAGCCTTGGCTCTCCAGATGCACTATTTACAAATATCACTTGGGGCATAACACATTGTGATCTGCCTTAGCATAGGGCTGATCTCTGGTGCTTCAGGGCAACCCCACCTGGAAATGCACAATGAGTGGAGGTGGTAAAACAAAGCTCTGATTGAGTCCACCTGTTTCCTTTCTGCACCATGTCCCCATTCTGGTCCCTTTGTTCTCAGGGGATTTTATTTTAAACTTTGTTAGATTTTTCTTTAATTTAAAACTTCACCCCTCTAAGGTAATATTAACATTTTACTGTGTATTCTCCTCTATTTTTTGCTCATGCAAATATATCTAAGACCTCAGTTATATATACAAAAGTATGTGCTGTTGGTGATTTCTAAATGAAATCATGTTATATACATTACACAGAAACTTGCTTTCTTCATTAAGCAGTGTATAATGGGCCTCTTTCCAGATCACTACATGTAGATCCAAGTTATTTTTAAAAGCTGTATAACATCTCACTGTATGGATAAACCATACTCTTCGACCAATTCACCTATTGATGAACTTTCAAGTTCTTCCTAGTTTCCTGTCATTCCAAGCAATATTATAATAAATAACTTTTAAATACACCCTTATGAACAGAAGCTTTTATTTCCACACAAAAGTTTTCCCCATAGTGATGTTACTTTAACACCCATTGCCAGTCCTCACCAAACTGTAATTTCTGAGACTGTAGCTGCAACAATTGAAAGTTGCCAATCTAATTTTCCTTCCCTTTCCTACCCAACATCAAGTGCAAAAACACCTGCTGCATTCAAAGCCTTGAGGAGGATCAAGCACTTGAGGAGGAAGACCCATGAAATAAAAGATGCAATCCTGTTTTAAAGGTGTTTCTATAGAAACACCTTCCAATACCTGGGGAAAGGCTCATGAGAGATGCTGAGACCTGGGGCATTGTTTCCTAGAGGTCTTAACAGAGAACAGATCACTTCCAATTGCTGGGCAACAGAGTGTGGATTTAATGTTACCAAGAAGTACTGCGATCTGAAAAATTTAAGATTTTCTTAATTGGCATCACTTACCTGTCTCTTAGGTGGAACTACCACAAAGGATACTCAGGCCTGAGGGTCACCCTCCATTCCCTTTCCTTCCAGAAGGCTTTGCCTGCAGCAGAGCCTGGATTGATAGCAGCCTGCCAACCCTATTCATACCAGTGCCTAATAGAAGCCCACTCCCTCAGAAGCCACACTTCCCACTCCCCAGAAGGTGTTGTTTGACTCTCTTTTAAACCAATATTTTCTGTATTCAGACTAGCCTTAACAAGTGACCCACCCATTGCCCTCAACCCAAGGAAGCCTTGCCATTTAAAACCTCCCAATGGAGTCTATCAAAGGGCACTTCAACGTGTGAGGGAGGCTGAGGGAAGAAGAAGATGAGAGGAAGGAGACATTGAACAGTGCCTAGGAGAAAGAGCTTTGTGGTCTTACAGAACAGTAAGTTAACCTCTGCATCTGTGTACAAATGGCTTAATGGCCATCACTGTCTGGCTAAGGGGTTGTGAAGATAAAATGAGCCAATCCAGATGAAGCATCTGGCATAGTTCCTGGGACATAGTGTAACACAGGTGAGTTTCCTCTTCAGCCCTTCCTAAAAGACCATATCTATCCACAGGAGACAGAGACACAGAGTAATATGGAGAAGGAGCATGACAGCAGAAAGACTGTGCCTGTGCACTGGTCCCAGCTCTTTCATTCAGCAGCCAGGTGGCCTTAGGAAAGTCACTTAACCTTTCTGGGCCTGTTTCCTCCTCTTCAAGAGATTTGCCTGAGACAAACCCTACTTCCTCCTTCTGTTTGCAGTTTCGTTTGTGGTGTGGATTATGATGCTAACCACCTCCAAATGACAGCAAAGACTGGTCAGAGGCATCTCAAACCAAAATTCAACTCTGATGGCCCAAACGAAGGCTGAAGAGCAGAATGCCCTTCTCCCTCCCACTGTAAAAGTGATGGGAAGGGAAGTTGTTCAGGGTTTTACAAAGGAGGCCTGAAAGTAGTGTTAAGCACAGTGTTCACTCCAGCACTGGGCTCTAGTTTGGCTTTTCCAGAGGTTGAAAGAGGTACCATTTTTTAAGAGCCCCATTTTGACTCCAGCGGCCTCAAAAGTAGTAAACAAGCAGCTGTTACAAATAGTCATCGCTTGATTTCCTCATCACTTATCAGGGGCAGAGCTTGATGGGGAAGTCGGTGAATTTCTCAGCAGTGCAGGCTACTGGGCTATAAGGCAGCATAAACCCATAGCTCTTGATGATCCATATCAATGCATAAATGACACAGATCATTGAAAAAAAATTGCTCTTTGACTCATTTTATGTATTATGTATTTTTACATGCAAGTAGAATTTCTACCTGTTTAACGAGTCTTGACTACAAAATATATTCAAATTAACGTGCTGCTCAGACATACACAGTGATGGCCACAGACCATAGTCCCTAAAGCAGGGGCCAGTTTGCTGGAGAAGCCAGCCAGAGTCCTCATCTTACCAGGCACAATCTGCTCTATGGCTAATCCACCTATGGAGAAACAAAAATTCATGTTTATCCCAGCATAGCCCTCAACCTCAAGTCTAAATAAAGCAGGGTTAAGGATCATTCAAGTTATTCCACAGGGGGGTGGGGGAAACAAAAAACCTCTATAATGGTTAAGTGCCATTTTAAAATCACACAGCAAGAGAAGAGTGGTTTCCATCTCTCGGATCTTCCAGGTATCACTACAGGCAAGTCTGTGTGCTGTCTCCTGTGCTGTGGTTCTTTCTTCCTGGGGGGTCACAGAAGAGAGAAGGACCTGGTATCATCAGAAGCATGACCACAGGCCAAGCACCCACTGCGGACCAGGTGCTGCACTGAGTGTGCTCCACAAGGAGCACTCCCACCGATCCTCACACCAGTCCCAGACATTAGTTACTTGGTTACCCCGATTTTACAGACCAGGGAAGGATGGCTCAGAAAGATTACAGAACTTGTCCAGATCACACAACATGGTGTGGGTCTGAACCCTGCTTAAACTCTTGTATCCTCGACCCCATCGATGGGAAGTCACAGACCTCAGAGCCACGCAGACCTGGCCTTTATGACATTTAACTAGTTCTGTGACCTTGGGCATGTTGCTCAACTTCTCTGAGCCTCAAAATTCCCATTTGCAGAGAGAGATGGGCCTGGTGAAACCTACTACTCTGGGCTGCTGTAAAGTGCCTAACCCAGAACCAGGCTCATTGTGGACCTCAAATGGGAGTGATGATGACATGTGGCATATGACTGGATGTGACAGGCTCATCCCTGCAAAACTGCATCTGTTGTTCAACTCTCAGGCACATGTACAAATGTAAAAAGGACACCCCAGCCCCAGAGGCCAGAGTATCTGTCAGCCTGACAATGGCTCTTGACAGGGCAACTCCACGTAAGTGACACCTGTCAACCTGTGTTCTTGCTGCAGCTCTTTCTGTCACATCCACTTAGTAACTTCTCTAAGTGGTGTCACTCCAGCTTGCATACCATATTTGCAGGTGTGGAAGACATAGCATTTTTTTTAACTTCTAAAAAATTGAGCTTACATACTGCCCAGATCTGCTATGCAACTACATCGGGACTTAGTGAATGCATCCTGAGCAAATGTGGGCTTAATCACAGGAAGGAAGGAAAGATCTAGCACCCTGGCAGGTGGATGGTGGAGGAAGGAGGAGGAGAATGGTAGCAGAACAACTTTGCATATATGCCCCAGCTCTTTTCCAACCTACAAAGATGGACTTTTCCTTTCTCCTTCTTTTTAAAAACCAATCTATTGTCATCTCCTGCAGGATAGTCCGTGCTACCCTGAGGTTAATTTAAACTGAACATCCATACCTTTTCTTCCTGGCCCGTAAAACAAGCCCTGGAAGGTTCGAGTCATAGTTTGTGACGGGAAGGCTATGAGCACATCTTACCCTTGGCCTTCAGCCTCATTTTACACAAGTTAGCGAAGACAAAGATTGGGCCTCTCCCTTCCTTCCCCTGATTGGATAACATAGTCCCTGAAGCCATTTTCATCACTACCCTTCCCAGACAGAGTTTGGCACAGGTTTTCTAGCCTAAATTTGGTTGCATTCAAAGAGAAGAGCCTGGGCCCATGAGGTGCTGGACCACTTCTGTCCATTAGCATCTCGGGTGAGCTTCTAAGGATCTAAGAGGAGTTTGAGCATCACCAGGCCATGACAGGCTAGTGTCATATCATGTAGCAATTGTCCAAAGTTCCTCCTCTGGGCCCCTCTTGAGACATAGAAGCCTTTACCACCTTTCCCTCCCTGTAAAGTTCCCCCTCACAAGGGGTTGCCAGGAGACTCTACAGGACCATATCATAAGTTCATCATAGGTCTTCTTCACCTCTGGCTGCCCTCAGTCAGTATCCCATAACCTCGAGGTTGCTTTCAGGAGCCTGCTGTTGCCCATTGACAATGTCCCTTGTGAGGTGGCCAAGGGATCGGGCAGGGCTGCTGTGGCCCAGCACTCCCAGAGCTGGATGTTGTACAGAATGAGACGTGCCCCAACCCCCACTGCTTGTGTTCAGAGTCCCAGGGCTCCTGGAGAAGCATCCTTTCAGTTTCTGACCCTAACTCTTCCACTCCTCCATGAGGGCAAAAAGCCAGTGTCAGGGTGGAGTGCAGAAGACACACCCTCCCCTCTGTGGTCTAGGTCTCTTGCCTCATCTTCCATCCACAGGATAATAAGACAGACATCTCCCCTCTTCAGCCATAGACAAAAGTGCTCATAAAGGCCAGTCCATTCAAATGAAACCTTAGGGGAGGAAAGAGGATGCCTCTTATAGAGAAAGCACTGGGCTGGCCGCTCTCAGATAGCATGTGGAGTGGGCAGCCCTGCCTCTCCCTCTGGGCTTCCTTGAGAAAGGGATTTCCCAGCAATGTGCCTGGGTCATCGTCTGTCTTCTGCATTTGGCCAGGCAGGTAGTAGCATTTATCAAATGGTCTACAGAAGAGTGGACTCACCCTCACATCTGTCCCACTTGCATCCTCCCATGTGAACTCTCTGTCCTGGTTTCCCCTCCAGACCGCCACCACCACTTGTGGGTATCAACTCTCGGAGGAACAGCCCTTCCCGTTTGTTAGCTCTCAACACCCAGCTTTCCCAGAGGGATTTCTGTTTCAAGAGGAGACTCTGGAAGAAAGCCTGCCTAAGCTCAAGTTACAAAAGAATGAATCTCTAATGGTGGAAGGTCAAGCACCAGTTACAGGCTGCTGTGAGCATGATTTTGGGGGTGGAAGTTCACCCTGCACTCTTTAAAATCATGTTACACGGGTATTTAACTCTGCCTGCCAGTAAGTTATGCCCTGGACTACGGGCATCAGAGAAAGCAGGAAGGTATAAGAAAGGGGAAAAGCACTGAGCCAAAATCAGGAGAATCAAATCCTAGTCCCAGCTCTGCCATGAGTTGCTGGAGACCTCAGGGAAGGTGGTTGTCACGAAAAAGTCCCCTGAGAAATGGGGGTGGGGAGTGGTTAAGGTCTGCTCTGTTCTTAAAGTCTCCTGTATCCCTGCTTTTCCTTTCTTCCTCTATAATGGGAGTATTTTGGACAAGTGGAATTTGTCACTTTCAGCTCTTCCATTCCACCTACGATTGTAAACCCCGTGACTGGCATTCAGAGTACAGATGCCATCCGTAGTTCTCGGAACAAGCAAGGGGGACGAAGGAAGAAGTACGGGGAGTTCCTGGGCTCTGGGGCTCAGGCACTGGGGCCTCCAGAATAACCAACCCTACGTATCTTCCAGGTTGTTTTTCTTTAAAATATTTTTTAAGCTTTAATTTAAATACCATCTTTTCCCCATGAGGAGCTCAAATGCTCATGGTCTTCGGGCAGAAATCATCCATTATAAAAGATGGCATTCAAGCCAGACTTGCAGACAAGGTCTTTCTAAGTAGGAATTTTAAAGAAATATGCCTATCAGCATTTGTCCATTATCCATGTCCATGGAAGAAGCGGGTGGATGAAATGCATCTGTGGGCTGCCACTTCTGGGTATCATTTTGCAAGGTGACCCTAAACAACAGCCTGTTCCTCTCCCATCCTCCTCTTCACACTTCTTAACCTTCTCTACTTCTACCATAGTGTCCTCTCGTTCCACTCAGCTGGTTTTAAGTGGGTATATAGTGTGCCTGATGCATGAAAAAAGAATCTGAGAGTAGAAACTGACACTAACATGTGACAAATAAAAACTCTCTACAGCAGGTTCAGGAACCAAGAGGTCTTCTTATTCCTAGGCAAAGATGAGACGAGGCCAAGTGCCTTCAGTGCTCTTTATAGGGTGGGGAAAATTCTCAGGCTGGCCCTTCCCCCACGTCATAGAGGGTCTGCAGTGGAGTAACTTGAAGAAATGGAGGCCCACAGCAAGAAATGCAAGGAAGCCTTCCCAAGAGATGCTACAATAGCTGCTTCTTTAGGGGAGTATTTTCTTTTTTTCTTAAAAAATTGAGAAGATGGTGGCCCGGCACGGTGGCCTGTAATCCCAGCACTTTGGGAAGCCAAGGTGGGTGGATCACCTGAGGTCAGGAGTTCGAGATAGCGGGGCATGGTGGCAGGTGCCTGTAATCCCAGCTGCTCAGGAGACTGAGGCAGGAGAATCGCTTGAACCCAGGAGGCAGAGGTTGCAGTGACCCGAGATTGTGCCATTGCACTCCAGCCTGGGCAACAAGAGCAAAACTCCATGTCAAATTTTTTTTTTGAGAAGATGGCTATCTGAGGAAACTGGTTCAAATTCCATCCTCTCCAGAGCCAAGAGACAGGCCGTAACAGCTTCAAGGGCTTCTTCTAGGTTGTCCAGTCTGTGATGATCATAAAAGGACTAAAAACAATTAGCCAAGTCCATGGGGCTCTTTTGAACACAGTCAATTAGGCACATGTCCAGTCTCCTTCCCATCTGGAGAGCCAAGAGACAATGGGGAAGAGCCAGGGGACAGATAGATGCCCACCCAAGTAAAGGAAGATCGAGGGGGCTCTGTTCCATGAAGGGCCAGGCCCGAGCGAGGGCTAGGAAGCCACAGGGAAGCAGGAGCCTGTGCTGGGAACATTAGCCCCACTTGGTTTTCCCAAACACAATTGGCCACAGGACAGAAATTTGAGGGGGAAGAATGACTTTAATAGCCTATGACTTTTTAAAGAGCCTCCAAACTCTCCTCTATGAAGAAGCCAGGGAATCCAGGCCACTTTCCCATCAGAGCCTGCTATATCCTCACTCTTTTTTTAAATTTTTTTTTATTGCATTTTAGGTTTTGGGGTACATGTGAAGAACATGCAAGATAGTTGCATAGGTACACACGTGGCAGTGTGATTTGCTGTCTTCCTCCCTTCACCCACATCTGGCATTTCTCCCCATGCTATCCCTCCCCAGCTTCCCCACTCCGCTGTCCCTCCCCTATTTCCCCCAATAGACCCCAGTGTGTAGGGCTCCCCTCCCTGTGTCCATGTGTTCTCATTGTTCATCACCCACCTATGAGTGAGAATATGCAGTATTTCATTTTCTGTTCTTGTGTCAGTTTGCTGAGAATGATGTTCTCCAGATTCATCCATGTCCCTACAAAGGACATGAACTCATCGTTTTTGATTGCTGCATAATATTCCATGGTGTATATGTGCCAAATTTTCCCTGTCCAGTCTATCATCGATGGTCATTTGGATTGGTTCTAGGTCTTTGCTATTGTAAACAGTGCTGCAATGAACATTCGAGTGCATGTGTCCTTATAGTAGAACGATTTATAGTCCTTTGGATATATACCCAGTAATGGGATTGCTGGGTCAAATGAAATTTCTATTTCTAGGTCCTTGCGGAATTGCCACACTGTCTTCCACAACGGTTGAATTAATTTACACTCCCACCAGCAGTGTAAAAGTGTTCCTATTTGTCCACATCCTCTCCAGCATCTGTTGTCTCCAGATTTTTTAATGATCGCCATTCTAACTGGTGTGAGATGGTATCTCAATGTAGTTTTGATTTGCATTTCTCTGATGACCAGTGATGATGAGCATTTTTTCACGTTTCTTGGCCTCATGTATGTCTTCTTTTGTAAAGAGTCTGTTCATATCCTTTGCCCATGAGAAGAAAGCTCATGAAAACTGGCTTAAAGCTCGTGCGGCAGAAAGAGCTATAGCTGAAGAGAAAAGGGAAGCTACCAACTTGAGACGCAGATTACTGGAATTAACACAAAAGACGGCAACGCTGCAGGAAGAACCTGTGATTGTAAAACCAATGCCGGGAAGACCAAATACACAAACCCTCCCCAGAGAGGTCCTCTGAGCCAGATTGGCTCTTTTGGCCCATCCCCTGTGAGCGGTGGAGAATGCTCCCCTCCACTGACAGTGGATACACCTGGGAGACTGCTCTCTGCTACTGTCAGTTGAAGAGATATGCCCAGAAGTGAATTTGGATCTGTGGACGGACCTCTGACTCATCCTCGATGGTCAGCTGAGGCATCTGGGAAACCCTCTCCTTCTGATCCAGGATCTGGTACAGCTGCCATGATGAACAACAGCTCAAGAGGCTCTTCCCCTACCAGGATGATGGATGAAAGCAAGGTTAATATGATTCCAAAAGGGCCCCCTCCTTTCCCAGGAGTCCCTCTTATGAGCACCCACGTGGGAGGCCCTGTACCACCACCCATTCGATATGGACAACCACCTCAGCTCTGTGGACCTTGTGGACCTTTTTGGCCTCAGCCAATTCCTCCACCCTTTGGCCCTGGTATGCGTCCACCACTAGGCTTAAGAGAATTTGCACCAGGAAGATGGGACGTGCCACTCCACCCTCGGGAATTTTTGCCAGGACAGGCACTATTTAGACCTTTAGGTCCTCTTGGCCCAAGAGAGTACTTTATTCCTGGTACCCGATTACCTCCCCCAACCCATGTTCCCCAGGATTACCCACCACCACCTGCTGCAAGAGACTTACTACCGCCAGGCTCTAGAGACGAGCCTCCTCCTGCCTCTCAGAGCACTAGTCAGGACTGTTCACCGACTCTAAAGCAGGGCCCATAACTATAACCTCTGATGTTTTATTGGAGAAAAAATGGACTGTGCATTATTCATTACAGTAAAGGACTTCATTGGCTTCAAAAATCCAAGTTTATTTTAAAAGATCTGTTGTTAGAACTAAGCTGCCTTGGCAGTATGCACTTTTGAGCTAAACAATTCAGAAATGTCATTTCTTCCCTAAATAAAAATCACCTTTTAAGCTAAAAAACAAAACAAAACAAAAGGAGGCCCATGGCCTCCTCTCTCTTGCACCCGCCCAGGTGCTCACAGCAGCACACACAGCCTCCGATGACAACTTGTATTTTCTTCCTAATGCTTCCCCATAACTTGTACTTTTAAAAATAGAAAGCTAACTGTGGCATCATTGCCTAGTGATTGATTTCAAGTAGATGCAGACCTTAGTACCTGAGAGTGAGCTCAGGCCCCACGACAGTGGCTGGCACTTGCCCCACTCTATTGCTTCAGATTCCCCAAGGACTGATAAGTTGGAGACATATCCTAGTATTTTCCATTAATGACAGGTGCCCACAGGAGCTAACCACCATGGTGGCTCCTGACTTCAACTTTTTAACCCTTCTGAAATATTAGGAAAATTTAGATTCTAGGGGATGGAATAGACCCTTGTCAGTGCAAGAAGAAAGTGAGTCTTCTTCCTCTGCCGCCTTTGAAGCACCTAGAGAAGTTCAGGAATGTGGTCTCCTTTCATGTCGTCTGAGGGAAAGCCAAGGGACAGGTTTCTCTTCTGTCACTCACCCTCACCATCAAGGAAGCAGTCACAAAACCAGAAGTGAACCTTCTTCAGAAGGTGGAGGGGCCTAAGCCAAGTTTCTGTAGAACAAATGCCTGCATGGCCTGGCAGGGTGCACCGCAGGGTGTCATCTACAACCTCATCCAGAGGGAGAGAGAGAGAGACAGAGAGACAGAGAGAGAGGATGATGATGGTGATAGTTGGATCAATAGATATCAATACGTGATGGACAGGATGAAGACTCCATTTGTTTCCACTGGAGAGTTCAGTCTACTCCTTTTCAATAATTATATGGCTACTTCCTCTTAACTCATCCAGGCCCTGCCCTGTCCTCAAAGTCCGATTAAGCTTCAAAACCTTTCTTTGGACCTCCCAACCCATAGGAAATCTTCTTTTTCTTCTTCACGCTCTTAGAGCATTATAGATGGTGGCACCCACTCTGACGCCTCATCTTAGAGAGTACCATCCTCCCCCAACCACAAGTGACATCCAACAACTGTGATTACACGGAACACGACCTGAGAGAAAGGAAGGAAAAAACACCGACCATCGGAAAAGGGAGGGATATTCAAGGAAGAGTGAGTTTGGCCCATACCATCAAAAAGAGATAAAATTGTGTTCTGTGAATTCTTTTTTCGGAGGCAGGGGAGGGCATCTTTTTAAAAAGCTCTGTCAGATGTGTTCAGATAAAACATTTCAGAACTCAAAGCCAATAAGACTCTACGATGCAAGAAGGCCCAGGTGCTTGGGGCACCTCCCGTCCAAGCCAAGATGAATAAAACTCAGGGCACGTCCCCCTTCCTTGCTGTGCCGCTGCTTGGCTATTTCAGGACATACCTCTTGGTTTCTCACTGTAAGCTCCAAAGAATGGGCCATACCTTCTGTTTCATTTCCCTCTCGATGCCCAGTCCCGTGCTGAGCACTTAGAAGGTGCCTCCACACTAGTTAAGTGAATACATGAGTGAATGAACACATCACACTTCTGATTCTTCATCTGATGTTTTATTTAGTCCCACTGCCTTGTGTTACTCTAGAGAATGACCAGGAAACAGATTTCAAAAACTAATTTTTGAACTAGGTGTGGCCTTGTTACTAGATCACAGTTTCAAGAGCCCCACAGCCCTCATCACCCCACCCTTAGGCTTCTCCTCACTCCCACCACAACGATAAGAAATAATCAGGTCTCACCTATCACAGTCAGTCATACTCCAGACTGACCCTACAAATAGAAGTCCCCAACAAGATGGTCCAGGAGACTGATTCTCAAATGCTTCCCAAATTCTCCATGACCTGGACCTTGTGGCCCAGCTCTTGAGGGGCTCTCCTCTCTCCACCACCCACTAAGCAGACAGACTGGAAACCCGGTGCCTGCGTAGCTCACAGGCTTGCCACACGCATAGATGCTCACATCCAAAGCCGTAAGTGTAGCCGCAGACTCTTTGACAGGTAGACAGGAGAAAGAATACAAGAGGCTGCTGTGGAGGTTCCCAGGGAAGGCATCCTTTCACTGACGATTCTGATTTAGCCCAAGCTGAAGAGAACTCTGCCTGAGAAAGCTTTTTCGCAAAGACTCATCCAGTCTGCCTTGTCTCATGACCTTTCTGCAGAACAATGAGCAAAACTCCTATCCCAAGAGAGGGAGATGGGAGAGGGAGAGGGAACACAGGTGCACTAATGAGCCAGGGATGCGGCTCTTGTTGAAAGGCCTAGAGCACCTGTGGGCCTTCCCGACAGCCGCAAACCAGCTCGCAGGCACTTCCCTGGTTCACTATTTATGTACCTGTCAATAGCAAAGCCTAATTCAAACAGAAAATCAGATTCCTTGAAAGAAATGGTCTGCCTGAGACCAGCAGACTCAGGCTCCCGTACCCAACAAGCCCACATGTCTGGTATCCTACATAGGTGAGCATTCATCCTATTTTAAAGATCTCTGGGGAAAGGTTGCAAACTCTCATAGTTCTAGAAACGTCCTGACTCCTAGCAAGAAGTGCTGATGTGCATCTGGCCTAAACCACTCCCGCTTAGAGCTGAGGCTCCCTTCAGAGTGCTCGGTCCCCAGCAGGGCTGGAAAACGTCTGGGTCTCTGCTCTGGAGACTCAGTGGTCAGAGGGAAAATGAAGACATTTTTATTATCAGTCTTAGGATCTGTTACTCAAATGAGACCATCCTGCTATAAACATGTCCAGATCTTAAAGAGTCTCCTCAGTCTCCAGCCCAACCCCATTTCTTCGCAAATGATAAGAAAGCCAACTTCGAAAGCTCTGACATGGAAAGGGGTGTCTAAAGAGAGAATCTGAGGCACAGAATTCCTGACTCCTCAGCCCCGTCGTTCTCCGCATACATCATACACCCACAGGATGTAGAAGAGAGTGGGCGTGATAAACAAGAGTGTTCTGGGACACTAGGCCACCCTCCCCCTCCCTCCCCAAGAATTAGCAACCTAGGCACCCCCCGACCCTCACTCCCACCACCCCACAGTACTGGAAGGGAGGCCCTGCTCAGGCCCTTTCAGGACAAGAACTAGGGAGCTATCTGCAGAGGCCTTGTAATCTGCCCCCACTTCTGTTGCAGCCCAAAGTGGTGAATAGCCCACTGACATCTAACAGCTCAGGGTGGTAGCATTCTCCAGACATAAGGACGCTGCGGGCAGAGGGCTGCCTGACACGGATCCCAAGGCAGAAGCAATCCCCAGAGCTCCCACTGACTAAAAACAGGCACTCACTTGTGAAAGACGGAAAGTGATGTCCTGAGACTCTCTGACCTGCCTGAAAACTGATTTAAAAACAAAACCTAGAACAAGTCTGGTGGTAAAAGTCAGTCCTTATCCGACAGGCCCTGGGGCAAAGTCCACAATTCTCCCAGCCAGCCAGAATAAGAAATCGTGCATTTCCTGTGGGACTTTGCTCTGCTCTTCCCCTCCCAAATTTCCTCTGCCTCCTGCCCACAATGTCCTCACCTCTTTCATGAGCACCACCGCTCCAGAACCTCCACGCCAACCCAAGATGCTTCACAGCCACTGGGTCTGGTTTGCACCAGGTGAGATGAGGACCCGGCCTCCTCGTGTTAGATTTCCCTTCTTTTAGCGGCCAGGCAGTCGGCCACAAGACACATGATGAGAGTTGCCTGTCTGCTAATTCTACAGGGCACCACGCTGCTGGAAGCCTGTCCTCAGGGAGCCTCTCAGTGTGAGGGTGGGCTGGACGACAGTTCCTGAGAAGAGCAGAAAGACAATTTGAATGCCACCTGGATGTGAATTCCATGTTTGTTTGTCCATCCAGAAAATGTCAACTGACAGCCTGATATGTTAGGTCCTATGCTGGGTACTGGTGATATCAAGATAAATAAGACATAATTCCTACCCTTGAGGAGATTCCTTGCAGAGGGAAGGGCACTTGAGAGGGAAGATAATTGCAGGATGAGAAAGTGAGCGCCTTACGGGGCCGTGCAGACTACTTTGGAACTTTAGGAGCAGCAGCTCATCCAGCACGTCATTCCCGAAGGGGAACGTCAATGATTGCGAGGGATTAGTCAAGCAATTCCTCACAACCAAGGGCTGTATAGTGTCAGCTGGCAGGGATGAGCCATGGCCTCCCTGGGGAGGACAAGCCCCTCAGGATGGCTGGAGCAGAGAGCGTTGGGTGAAAAGCTGGCAGGAAGAGACAGGCAGGGAACAGAAACCAGGGGTCCCTGGGGAGGACAAGCCCCTCAGGATGACTGGAGCAGAGAGCATTGGGTGAAAAGCTGGCAGGAAGAGACAGGCTGGGAACAGAAACCACGGGTCCCACATGCTGGGTGCCTGCAACAAGCGGGGCACCCTGCTAGAGAGAAAAATGGCAAAAGCAAGAATAAAGGTGCAAAAGCGCTCATTTTATCCTTGCTACACTCGTGAAGCAGGCGTGGTGCCCCCATTATATACAAAAAACACGGAAGCTTATATAGGTTAAGTAACTTACTCAAAGTCACACAGCAAAAACAAATTACAGCCATCAAAGCTCACTGTATCAGTCCTGTGCTAGAAAATATAGTCACCTGGACTTCCCAAAGAACTCCGAAGTGGGCATTATCCTAGGCTTACAGTTGAGGAAAAGGAGCATCTGCCAGGATCTGAACCTGGGCCTAACTGAGCCCCTCTCTCCAAGTGCAAGCCCTTCACCTTGTGACGTGAAGGGACTTGGACGCCCCACTAAGGAGTTTGGACTCTCACTAAGGATAAGGCCATGGGGTTACCTTGAAGAATCTCAAATGGGAGGAGGGACAGGCATGACCCAATCTGCATTTGTAGAAGCTCATCCAGGCAGCTCTGTGGAGAAGGACTGGAGGAATCCACACACCCAGGCAGGGATTGTTGAGTGGCCATCGTGTTAACCCCCGCAAGTGTTGGCAGGGTCTGGAGTGGGTGGGAGCAGCGGAGATGAAGAGAAGAGTGACCCCCACAGAGAGTGAGAAGGTGG